TCCCACCCGATTGGAGAGCTTGGGTATAACTAACCAGTTCTGAATGACTTCCCACCACTGAAAGAGAATGAGACCTTGGACCCCCGTGTTCCTTCTAAGCTGAGTTAGTGTGAGCTCACAGTTTTTTAGCTTCTGGCTCACACATTTTTGTCTTAGCTCAGGAAGGAGGGCTCGAGAGCAAACTAATTTATGCAGCACACAATTTTAATGCCACTAGCTCACAAAGTAGGATTTTTGCTTACAAGACTCCACAGCTTAGAGGATGCATTGATTGGACCTACCTGAAGGTTCCTTCTCTTCATGGGGTCGAAGTCATCCACTTCCCACTAAATAAAAATAGATAAAGAAAGAACAGTCAAAGACAGCAGGAAACATCAGGGCTTGGATAAAACTGGGGGGGTCAGCCTAGGATCTCTCCAATAGGAGCCAGACACACAAAAGAATCTGCATAGTTCTATTAGAGCGAGCAGAGGCGTAACATGACCAGTTCCAGATGACTTCGCCCCCACTGATATTAAATACTTATTTTATTTAGAAAATTTTTGTGCTGCCTCTTGGGAACCTGCTTAGGGAGGCTTATAAAAAATAAAACCCATACATTAAAAGGTATTAAGTAAAATCCAGCATTAAAAAATCCTCAGCCCAGCATAAAACCAGATTACAGACACCTTAAAACAGTTTCTAGATTAAAATCATATTTAAAAATCAACCCTTTAATTAAAAGCCTGAGTGAATAGAAACATTTTGACTTGCCCCCTGAAAGAAAGCAACATAGGTGCCAGGCGAGCCTTAAGAGGAAGGGCTTTCTGTAACCAAGCTGCCACTACTGAAAAAGCACTGTCTCTGGTTGCCCACTTGTCTCAGCTATGCAGAGAGCATGGCTTGTGAGGCAGATCTTAAGTGTTATGCTGGATAATATGAAAGGAGGTGATCCTTCAAATATCTTAACTTCAAGCCATTTAGGGCTTTGAAGGTAGGAATCAGGTCTTTGGATTTATTTATTTATTATATTCATACCCCGCCCTCCCAGCCATGGCCCAGGGCGGCTTACAACAACATAAGAACTACAATGCATGAAATAACAATCTTAAAACCATAGCAATAACAATATTAAGAAGTGCTAACAATAATAATCCAATTTCCAATGACAGATATCAATTTAACATTTCGTCTAAGATAGTGCTCAACTTCCATGCCATCCTAATGGTCGATCCCGATCTAACGTTGTATGGGTGGCTCAGGCCGCTTTAAGATTCAAGGGGCAGGGCATTGTGCTGGAAACATGGGCAGCCAGTAGAGATTTTTCAGCACCTAACAACAGCCTGGCTGCTGCATTTTGGACAGAGCATTTTCAAAGACAGTCCCACATAAAGTAAATTACAGTAATGTAACCTGAATGTAATCAGAGCATGGATCACAGTGGCCAGATCATGCTTTTCAAGGAACAGCCACAGTTGGTGTTTTCTACTTTAGCTGAAGTATTTTTTTCAGGCACTGTAAAACAATTCAAGTAGTTCTGTTCATAATTACTTTACAAATATTTACTCTGACTGTTAACTGTAAAGGCGTTAAACCCCCAAATTATTACTCTAAGAGGGGTATGGAGTCAATCCACATAGTTTACATTTTTGTGGTCATGGCTCTAAGGAAAACTTGTACAAATTTTTGGAGAACTTAAGCAACTGCTTTTATAATGCATGCATATTGCGTTTACATTCCTCCTTTATGGGAGGAACTGAATACCAGTAATATAGAACTTGATATCTAATTTTAAGGACAAAATACAATTTTTAGGAACAACTAGGGGAAAAGGTAAATGGAAATCTTTAATTTGTTCTGAATTTCCTCAGATTTGTGGCTTTCAGTTTTAGATCTGTTGGGTAAATGTCAGGGTATATGCTCATAGAGAAAGCATTGTAAAAACAAAAGAACAATATTGACTATAGATTATAGGCTTGGTGCTGTAGTGTGATAATTCTTAACTATATTGTAAAATGCTCTCTAAACACTGTGCTCTGTGGGACTTCAAGGTCTTTCAAGACAGAGTTGTCTTATTTTTTTAGATTCATAAGGTAAAGGGTAAGGTTTCCCTTGCTTGAAATAGTCGAATCCGACTCTAGGGGGCGGTGCTCGTCTCCGTTTCCAAGCCGAAAAGCCAGCGCTGTCCGAAGATTTCTTCGTGGTCATGCAGCCAGCATGACTAAACGCCGAGGCGCATGGAACACTGTTACCTTCCCACCGAAGCGGTACCTATTTATCTACTTGCAATTTCTTGCTTTCGAACTGCTAGGTTGGCAGGAGCTGGGGCCAGAGACAGGAGCTCACTCCGTCCTGCAGCACTCAGGTCTTGAACTGCTGAGCTACCAATCTTCCGGTCTGCAGCTCAGCGTCTTAACCTCTGAGCCACCTACTTTATCTCGTTAACTAGCATCTTGGGGTAGGTCTGCACTTGTAGAAAATTGCCTGCTTTTTGATTTGCTTCTTTAAAGCGAAAAGAAGT